TGTTCTGTGATGATGATGCGTAGAGTTGCAATTTGGTCAGTACATGATTTGCCTTTCCTGAATCCAGCTTGTTCTGGTCGGAGTTCTGTCTCCAGTGCGTCCTTTAATCTCTCCAGGATGATGCGACTCAGGATTTTACTTGGCGTCGATAGGAGCATGATTCCTCGCCAGTTCTTGCAGAGTCCTAAGTCGCCCTTCTTTGGTAGTTTCACGAGGTAACCTTTCCTCCAGTCAGTAGGCACCTTTCCCTCCTTCCAGACCTTTTGCAATAATGGAGTCAGCATGTCTGCTGTCGTCTCTGGGTCTGCTTTCAGTGCTTCAGGGGGTATTCCATCTGGTCCGGCTGTTTTTCCAGCTTTCAGAAGTTTGATTGCGTTCAAGACTTCAGCTTTCGTTGGAGGATTGGTGTCAACTTGCAGTTGTGTGCGCGCTGTTGTTGGTATTTCTGGACGGGTTGCAGGTGATGGTCGGTTCAAGAGTCCTTTGAAGTGATCCGCCCATTGTTTAATCTGTTTTTCTTCCTTGGTAATCGGGTTCCCTTGGCTGTCTTTTATAGGTTTCGCTTGTGTTGGTCTCTTCCCGGATAGAGATTTGGTTATCTGATATAGTGTCCTCAGGTCCCTTTTGCCTGCTGCCTTTTCAGCTTCAGTAGCTAGATTGTCGTAGAATCGTCTTTTGTCCTTCCTAGCACTTTTCTTCACTTCTTTGTCCAGTGCTTTGTAAGTTGAGCTCATCGTCTCCTTCTCCTGTCCGTCCTTGCATTGAATCATTTTCTCTTTCACCATTCTCCTCTCTTCTATTAATTTCCAAGTGTCCGTTGAGAGCCATTCCTTGTCTTGTCTCTTCTTTCTTCCTAGAACCGTTGAACACGTTTCGTTGAGAATCGCCTTCAGAGACTTCCAATGTTCTTCCACGCATGATTCTTCAGTGCTGTCGCGTAGTGTTTCCTGCTTTGCTCTGACAGTTGCAGTGAAGGTGTCTTTTGTGGTTGTGTCCTTCAGTAATTGAGTGTTGAACTTGCATTGTGGCCTATCCCCAGCTATCCTCGAGGCTTTTAGTTTCACCTTGAAAGTCCCTTGTACTAGATAGTGGTCTGAACCCACATCTGCTCCTCTCCTTGACCTTGTGTCCAGTAGGCTCCGTCTCCACTTTCTTGAAATTGAGATGAAGTCTATTTGATTCTTGGTGTTTCCATCTGGTGAAATCCATGTCGTCTTGTGTATATCCTTGTGTTTGAACACACTACCACCAATCACCAAATCATTGAAGGCGCAGAAGTCTGAGAAGAGTTCACCATTGTCGTTCATTTCACCGAGGGCCTCACGACCCATGGTGAGTTCTCTTCCTGTGTTGTCTCCTCCCAGCTTCGCATTCATGTCGCCCATCAGGATTTTGATATCGCCATTTGGGACGTTGTCCATTATTGCTTGTAGTTGTCTGTAGAACGCCTCCTTCTTCTCTTGTTCTGAGACGTTTGTAGGCGCATAACATTGAATGACTGTAACTTTCCTTCCTTTTGAGTTGAACCTGGCTGTCATTATCCTGGAGGAGATTGGTTCCCACTGCATGAGAGCTTTGGTTGCTGTTGGTGACATCATGATGGCCACTCCCTCGGTGTGCTCATGGTTGTCCTCTAGGTGGCCGGAATAGATTACTGTCTCTCCAGTAGGTAGTTGGCACCTTCCAGTTCCGTTCCATCTGCTCTCGCAGATTCCCAACACTTCTATTCTGTACCTTCTCATTTCAGCGGCTATCTGGGCAGCCTTTCCAGTTTCGTACATTGTGCGAACATTCCAGGTACCCATCCTTACTTTTGCTTTCATCGAAAGAAGGCACATCGGCTGACTGGCTTCCCGAAGGCTTTCACCAGCCTGCGTCATTTCACTTCTCCGATTCCAGCGAAAAGTAAGGCTATTGCTTATGTTTTTAGAATTTTTAATATATTTATTCGTTGAAGTTTCTGTAGCGATTTGGTTGTTTTACAGGGGTGGAGTTGCTAGCACCACGCCCCAACCCTCCCTCTTTACCCGGGCTTGTGACCGGCGAGAAAACTAGTAAGTTAGTATCTGGCGAGGTTTTGTGGCTCCATAAAATGTAAATTTCGTTTTGGGACGTTCTATAGTCAAAAAGAAATCACATTCCCTACTTCTATTTCCCCTTCCTCTTAATTAAGCATTTGTGAAGAATAAATATAGACTTACTCAGAATCAAATCAAACAGTAATTTAGAAAATGCAATAAAATGCCTAAGTTACCTCTTATTTCTTCACTTTTCTTTTATAATTCTATAATATCAGAGATGACAACTTAATGTGGGACATTTTATCATCTTCAAGAATCATCAAGTTTAACAGTAGTCGATAGTAGATCACATGACACAATAACTTTCAATATGAAGTGAAAACCTATCACTTCTTTATTTTTTTCCTCTCCGTCGAAAATGCTCAGTAGTGTGTTGAAAAATGCAAGTGAGTACATTTCACCATAATGAAAGAAGACCAGTGAATGAATAAAAATTTTGAAAAAAAACGTGATGGATTTTATCCCACATGAGATTCCCTTTAGAAATTGGAAAACAGAAGTAGAATAAAAATATTCATACGGAATAGTATGAATTCATTTTCTCATGTCAGTTCTCTTCAACTGTATGCAACCTATAAAATTTAGTGAAACTACCTGTAATACAATTTATTCATCACGAATCAATCCTCCAATAGGGATTTTTGTAGGAAAGTCGTGGTGACCACGTAATACGGTGAGTAGGATTCAAAGGATGAACAATTAATTCTCATATGAAGCACAAAATAATTGAGCGAAGAATATCCTTTTCACCAACACAAAAAAACTTGGCGGATCTGGACTGCGCCGGTGATTTATGTCTAATTTCTCACAAACTGGAAGATATGCAAGTGAAAAGCAACAAGTTGACTGAAGAAGCATCCGGAGAAGATAGGACTTCAGGTGAACATAGAGAAAATAGAGGTAATGAAGATTGCTGGTCAACACCAACAGCAACAACAGACAACAATCAGCATAAATGTGAGGAACCTGAAAGAAACAACCTCCTTCACCTACCTATCTGGGAAGCATCGTTTCAACTGCAGGCGCAACTGACGAGGATATCAAAGCAAGACAGGCTTTCATTACTCTCAAGTCTATGTGGAGGTCAACAGCACTACTCAGCATGAAAAATAAGTTACGGATGTCCAACTCCAATGTGAAGTCAGTGCTACCTACCATACGGATCAGTGACTTGGCGCGTCATTAACAGCATCTCAGACAAACTACAGACCTTCATCAACAGCTGTCTTTGCTCAGTACTCAAGATTAGATGGCCGGCTAGAAATGATCAGCAACAGGGATATCTGGCAGTGAATGAACCAACCAGGAACCGATTGTGCAACAAATAGGCAGGAAGAAATGGAGTTGATTTGGCCATACTCTGAGGAAACCATCAAGTGGCATCACTAGACAAGCCATTGCTCGAGTGGAATCCGAAAGGAAATCGGAGAGTTGGTCATCCAAGAGTGGCTTGGAGGAAGTGATGGGAAGAGGAGATAAAAGCATGTGGGTTGACTTGGAGCCGGTTGAAAACTTTAGCAGATAATCAAACGCAAAGGAGACGCGTGGCTGAAGCCCTATGTTCCTCTAGAAAAATAAAGGAAATAATAACAGTAATAATAAATAATAATATCCTTTTCGATCATTTTCTCTTGTGGTTCTACAATTACATATATGTTTATATATACAGAATATTCTAGATTAGTAGTTAATAACAATACTGGTGTTTTCTAAACAATTTCGATTTGTTAAGTAACATCAGTGGAATTACAGTCCATTAAAGATGCATAAATTATAATGATAATAAAGATATAGTAGCAAATAAAATATCAACCAAAATTAGGAAAATTCCACAAAAATTCAGGATCACTGAAGCTGGATTTCCAAGGTAAGGATAATATCTGAACTAACTTCTTTTGGACACAGAAATTAGGCTTCTTAATCTGGATCCCAACAGCCAGCCTCAGCAATATTTGGCGGTCGAACTCTTAAGGCGAAATTTAGATTTGTTGTATGCCGTTGTATGACTGTGAAAACCTGGTTAAAATCAGTCCTGTGTACTGTATCCACGAGACGAGGTAGAATAGAGCTATGAATGATCTGTGTTTGTCTTTTACTTAACCACACAGGGTGGTGTTCAGAAATTTGTCGAGAAACATGCCTAATTACACAGCTCATGTTACTGGCTTCAAATGAGAAGTAAAACTGTATGTTGTATTCCATGTCTATAAACATATATATATATATATATATATATATTAATATGGAGCCAGAAGAGGAATTTATCGAAAAAGATATTCTTTGTTCAATATTATTTTCTGTTTTAAAGATGTCTGAATGAATTTTTTCCTATATGAATGTGAAACAGAAAATGGATGTGAAGAGTGGGAGGGGGTTGAAATAGAATGATGGAATAAAGAGACAGAGTTATGAAGGAGGGAATTGACAGGATAATTAAAGTTCCACGATGGATTCATTTTGAACACATAGGCCAGGTGTTTGGTAATTGATGGGTTTGCATTTTTCATTCCATTCAATCGAAGGTTCTCTAGTACATGTTCAAAGAATCTGATATATGCTCTTCTTTGTGTCCTTCGAATACAACCGCCATCTCAGTTACGCCTTTGCCTGCTTGTTGACTTTTGATTGTGCCACTATATATATATGTATATATATATATATATATATATATATATATATATATATATATATTACTTAAAGGTTCATTTTGTTACCTCATTATCTGTGATCGTCACCTACATTGATTGATTCATGATTCTTTGTGTTTGATTGAAGAAAATTTCGGGTTGCGCAAGCGTTTGCATAGACCGTCAATGATTCAGCACTGATTAAAACAAAAGTATTTAAATAAAATCCTACTGTATCAATGCTCTATTCTTTCATATGAATCTTTTATTTTTTCTTTTCATAAAAATTTAGGCAAATGGTCGTTAACATTTGCTATCGGAAGTGGACTTGCTGCACTGCTGGCTACAGTATTTGTCACTGTGATATGCTGTTTTATTAAATATGCTCGAATGAGACGTATAAATTCAAAGAATCGTTTAAAATTCTTTGAAGGTTCAACAGTTCAGAAAAACAATGGTAAGAACACTTCAGTGTAGTGTATTTATCGTGGAAAAAAGAGCTTACATTATTTTCAATGATTACCTGACATTCTGTACGACCGTGAAATATTTTCAAAGTATTTGGCACTTTATTATCATCCTTCTAGTATTAGTTTCTTCACCGTATTTCAGTAAATGATGAATTGTTGGGCACTATTTCGATTGACTAGTGTATTTAACTGTTAGTTCTTATGCATTTCGTGCTGTTTTGTTGTGTACTAAAAAGACAGGAAATCAGAGTTGAAGATGAATGGAAGTGAGGGAGGTTTGGATTTCTTCAAAAGTTATTTCCAATGCTGGAAATGAGGAGCTCTTTGCTGAACACCTCTTTGTCTTTTAAACCACTCAACATAGTTACTAGAAGTTGAAGGAAAGATTTAGCTAAGCCTATTGATTATATAACTGTAATACTCAGTGTGTTTCACAGAGAGAAAGTTCCATATCAAGAAAAGCCACTCACCTGACACCTTTTATAACCTTGAACTGATTTGTCAATTTTCCTACCCCACACTCTACAATTCCATTATGATTAACCACCACTATTGTCTCCCGTTTTACAATATTTCTAATCGATTTCAGCCTAGCACGTTTGTCACACAAATATGACTATTTATTTTGACACCCCATAACTAATCTGTTATTCTACGTTAAAAAATGTATCCGCCGTATACCTGGCTAACTTTATTGTAACGACCACAAATATTATATTTTATAATTGTAAGAACCTGAAGAGAAATTATTGAAAAGAATATTCTTCGTTCAGATTGACTTTTAATTCATAATATGGGAATATTTCACACTATCAAAAGCAACAGAGTTGATTCCTTTTAGGAAAAAAAACTTCATTTCGCAATCGATGTGGTCAACTGGAAGCGAAGATGACTCATTCGTTTTTTCTTGCTGATATGAATTCGTGTCTGTGTTAGCATACACCTTCAGATAAGTGACTAAACGGCAACTGACCTCCCTTTCGAATTGTGAGAAATCATTTGACGAGGCTGTGAAGCTAAATCGACTGAGATGGTTGCGACATGTGTTACTTATGACCAGTCATCACCTTCTTCGACCGGCGGGCAGTGTTAGCTGACATAGGGTCAGGTTGGAAGAGAGCTAGTGGCGGTCAAACTAAAACATGGATTCATGAGCCAATGGAATCCATGACAGTTAGTTTGAGCCAGACACGTAGGAAGGTGCAGTCTTCCTGGTTGGGGTCCTCGGGATGATAAAAACCAATGATGGTTGGAGACAATTGGTGATATAGCTCAAAATCATTCTCAGTGATGGTGCATACGCATCCACTCCTTGTGACTTATAATTTCCAATGAAACTACATTGTTCTTCGTTACTGCTGTTCCTTTTGTCTCATATCCCTGTCTGCTGTCTCTACTTTTCATTTCTTCTACTTTCTTCTCCTGCTTTATGCGCTACGTGGAGTGTGGCGACTTGAACTGCTGCACATCGGTACAAAGTTCTATGTTGAAAACAGACATACAGAGAGACCGGAGGAGTGTTAGTTTGGGATTGGTTATTGGATTAATTCTTAAAGTCCTCCCATGGAAAAGAAAACATTTTGTATAGTGTTAAGCCCTTTGATAATTTCATAATAATCACAAAAATAAAATTTCAAGAATTAGTTTATTGGCATTTGTTCTGATTCAAGTTTAACTGCAGATTGATATCAGTTGTAGCACCATAGAAGATTTGAGAACACATGACAAGCAATTCATCCTACTTTTGATCACAATGAGGTTGACACCCAGGATATTCCGTTTACAAGACAATCTCATGGATCACTCAGCCACTTGGTTGTAATGCATTCTGAGTGAAGAGCAGTATTGTCAGATGATACTGGTTGATGGTCGCACTACAGTCGCATATTGGTAGAAGTTAGAACTCATGAGGCATTGGCTGAATAGTCTGCGAGCTTCCGTTGCCTTCAATTCGAACCCAGTAGGTGCATTCTATCTGTGAACTGAAAACAAGGAGGAAACAGATGTCCGTTAGCCGCTAGTTACGTTTCAATAGTCGTATTACCTGTATCAATCCGTGAGCGAACTGATAAACACCAGATGTTCTTCCGTGTCAAAAGATGTGGAAATTAACGTGTTTTTCATTAGCATTCAAATCTGGTGAAGCACCCCAAAAGTTCCTAGATGAATCCAAATCCTATTCAGATGGAGATATTGCCATATAAATCGAATGTCTGGATTCCTCAACCAAATGCAAAGACACCGCATGATCAAGGGCAGTTTGAAAATCTTTTAAACTAGACGACCTAACAACAAAAGCCATTAAAAGGCTCATATCATTTCGAGTCATCTTTGCTTAAATGAGCAAATCAGTCCAGGAAATTGAAACCCAAACTCCTGCGGTATCCATTTTCATCCAACCTAAGGAACTGTGGAATAGCACGAACATCTTACTAACAAGGTTAGGTAAAGATACAAGCCTTCTAATATATTAAATTGGAACGATTAAATTGGAAAAAACTCGAGATGTCCTCTCAGGTTTAGGCCAATTTCTTAGAAACCTGAGCACAAGGAGAATGAGGCATAAATAGCAGAGGAATAAATCACACAGAAGTTCTGAAACGGATGAAGAATGATTCATTGTTGATGTCAGAGTTCACGAAAAAAATTCAGGATCCTTTGGTTCGATTATTACTCCACTCTATGGGATTTAACTCTGTCAATTTGCCTGTCAGAAGAACGGTGCTCACAGCGTTGCTGTGAAATAATGTAGACCATTATTTAGCTCAGATGGGTGTTGTAATGTCCATTATTGTTGTCGAGAGTATCTTTGGAGCTAATTTCAACAGTAGATTCATGTCAACACTGTATTTTCCAGACTGAATATATGAGCAGTCATATGTATATAGGCATGAAGCATCCATTTCTACAGGTCAGGACTACAAAATTCATTTGGAAATGACTGCAAGAAAAAATGAATTCAACTGATTCAACTAGCGACGGAAATATTTGTCCATCAACATCAATACAAAAGCACGTCAAAAGAGACAGGTGATAAATACGATTTCAGTGGTACCTTTAAACTTATATATATATATATATATAGCACATGTTCAGATCATTTACGTCTATTCGCTGAAGCCAATTTTATGCACGTTAAAAAATGATTTGTTATCACTTTGTATCTGCCCTGATTATCCACTTTTAAAATTGAAGCTTCTTTTACCTAGTAATATGCTCAACAGTCGTCCTTCGTTTTTCTCACCTCACCATTCCCAACCTCTTTTCCGTGAACTTCATGCAAATGGTTTCCTTGATAAATTACGATAAAGAAAGGAAGATGACATTTGCAGTATAAAATGACATCATGCTATTTCACAGGTTCTCATCAGCTACAGATTACCTGAAATTACAATGGTTATATACAGATGATAATAACATACTTTAATGTATGAGTGGTAGTAGAGAAGAGATAAAATTGACGCATCCAAAATGAAGGCATTAAAATGTTTAAATTAAGTTTTCATCATCAATTAATGCGCTTTCAAAGTTGAAAAGAGGGGGAGGGGTAAGACAGAAAAAATTAATTAACAGAGCAGTGTTAGCTTGCAGGTTCACATAGTAACTCCAAAAATAAAAACAAAAGCGGTTACAGTTTATGAGATTAAGATTTGTTCAGTGAGTTGAGATCACTGAATCAGATGAATAATTAATGTAATCAAAGTCAAAATTCACTTACCAATAGTGTGAGTGAGAGGTTAATCACACTCTCTTTCTGTATACATAAGTCTGGTTGGTTTAAACCGTTTGATTGCGATCGCTTTGGCGAATCGTAGTAAATTTGCTGTCATTTGTCCATTTAATATTTTTAAGGACTTAGAAATCTCTACGAGATGTCCGGTATCAACAATATATCTAGTAATTGCACTGTGAGAATATTTGCTTCCTTTCAGGCACAGGTTTCTTGGAATATGTTCAGAAAACCGGATAGAAGTCTTTCTTTCTGTACTTCCAATGTACTTGCTCCCGCAAGTGCACGTAAATTCACAAACGCAGTTGGAAGTGACATCAGCAGGGTATTTATCCAGTTTTGAGTGACTTATAGAAAGAGTGGTACTGTAAAATGTTATGAGTTTAGCTGCAGGGATGCTTCTTTTTATTGCACCTTGCAGTCTTTTGTCAGTCTTTTGTGACACTGCATCTCCTTTGAATGGGAGACAAATTAAAACCTTTTTTCTTTTCTACTTTTAAAGCGTATTAATTAATGATGAAAACTTAATTTAAACATTTTAATGCCTTCATTTTGGATGCGTCAATTTTATCTCTTCTCTACTACCACTCAAACATTAAAGTATGTTATTATCATTTATCTAACCATTGTAATTTCAGGTAATCTGTAGCTGATGAGAACCTGTGTAATAACATGATGTCATTTTATACTGCAAATGTCGTCTTCCTTTCTTTTCCGTGATCTTGACCCGTGAACACTTTGACCTATATCGGTAAATAACTGTGATGCTTTTTGCTGTGTCAATATCCATGTATGTTCAACGGACAGCGATGTATGCGTCTGGTCGGAAGGTTCAGAATGTGTTGCGCAGATACGCATTACACGTTTCAAACAAACCACGTCTTATTGTGTTTATTTTAAGACAAAATACGATCATTATTTAAATCAAACTACAGTTTATACTTGTCTAGGTCATAAGGCGGTAACATTTACTTTTTACGCTCCTGCCTGGATACATGCAAACTCTCACTCATGCTTCTTAATGCTGCCTAATCAACATCTTTGTCACATATTCATGACTGTTGCCGCCAATCTGTTTCTCTCTCTCTCTGTCGATCGCTCTTAATATGCTCCATTCATCAAGTATGTTCATCACAATGTTTTTGATAGCAAAATGTCTCATGACAGTTGTAAGATTGACGACAAAGATACAGAAATTAAATCAGAAATCAAGTATCTTGGACATATTCTCTCTTCTGATCTCTCCTGGTCTTCCCATGTCTTAGCGATCTCCAGTAAAATATTCCGCCTGTCATTTTACATTAAGAAGTTAGGGCACTTAGGGATAACACAACGCATCCTCTTACAGTTCATAAACTTTTGCATCCCACCTATTCTTCTTTACTATTCGCCCTTACTCTTTCCTGATTTTTTAAAAGGGACCATGTCACAATTCGTAGAATGCTTAAAAATGTCAGTAGGGTGAGTGGTGTCCTAATGGACCACGTAGTTAACGTCGTTGTCGATAAGCACTTGAATTGGAGCAATCAATTTGCTAGAGGGATTTTTTCTGACATGGAACATCCTCATATCCCTCAGCTTCCACCTTGCATCTCCTCCTCAGGTAGAACAACAGGTAACTTTAGAAAACAGTATGCTCGTACATCTAAGTATAAAAATTCTGTGAAATCATACTTGGTACGTATTTTATGTGATGAAAATAGTGTCAGGCAAGAATTAACTAACCTTTTTTCATCTGATAAATACACAATTTCCTCCATCCATCTTTATATACCTTCAAGTTTTACTTTGTATTATTTCTATTATATTTATGGTCCTGTTACTTTTTGGTTTGTTTTACTTTCATAATTGCAAATACCAGCTTATCTCTATGACTGCTCTAATCTTTGTTTCTCCTCTCAGCATATCATGTAAAGAGAACATTATATTCAATATTTTTAAACATGCTAGAATTTCTGTACCGCATCGACAATACTCCGTGAAAGAAGTTCACGGCAACTTTTACTTGTATTGTGATTATTATTACCTTAGCTGTTATCATTTTTGTTAGTTCCATTTTATATGCTGCATGTTTTCGACACTACCCCTATTGTAAATGTGAAAAATTTTTCTGTATGATTAATTTTATTTATAATTTGAGGGAATTAGATGCAAGGTGTTGTGATTAATGCTGAGAATTCCATTCTGTATCACAAGTACTGTTTTTGGAATAAAGTAAGTCATCATTATTATTAGTATTATTAAAACTAAAAAACAAGCGGGATTGAATATGCATTTTTAAATGAAACTTCTCTCCGTGAATTCCTTGTTTATTTGCTGTTTTTTGTTTCCATTCATGTAGGAAGCGAAGATGTTCATAATGATATGGAATTGCAAACTATGCTGGGTTCTAAATCCCCACAGTCAGCTGTACTGGGATCAAATTACAACGAAAATATAAATATGAATACTAGTAAAAATGTGAGTGGTTTTATGAATGTTTTAAAAAAATACATATTAGATGATTAAGGCTAGTCTAAAGTAGAATATTTTGAATATTAATACTATGGAAAAGCGATTCTGTAGCTCAAGATTTGCATGCTTTCCAGTTGCATCCATGCGTGTGGCTCGGGTGGAATTCTCAAATGACCAGCTATGAATCCCCGCCTAGATAACTAGATGATATTTAAATCCATTATAGGTAAGATTTTATTTTGATAAATCACACAGCAGTATTATAAAGTGATATTAACTGATAATCACTTTTTAAGCACAAACTATTGCTACTCATAATCATATCAAGTCACTCACTCACACAACCTATTCCTTCATTTATATGCATGAGTGAAATTGATGATTAGATATTTGAATTAAAGGATGAAATAAAACAGACAGAAGAAGCGTTGGTATCAAATATCTCTACTATAAAATTCATTAGGAAGACCAGAAAAGGTCAGAAGCTAAATAAAAATAATAGTGAAACTAATAATGATAACATAAATAAGAGAGAATATAAGTCATCCACTATCATATTATATAAGGAAGACATCTGAGGCCTTACATGGTAGGATTTTTAATAAAGCAGGAATTAGGGTGTCATTCAAACTAATAAACTCATTCACTCACTCAGAGACAAGCTTTGTAGGCTTAAAGACCCGGTGTACCCAATTAAACAAAATAATATAATTTACGAAATACCTTGCAATGACTGTGAGGTCAACTTTATAGTTCAGACTATTGGGTCGGGCGGAGGTATTCAGATTGTCGGAACATAAGAATTTGGCTAAAATAAGAATGGTTGACCTCAAAAAGATAAGTAATTTAGAAAACAGCTCAGCAATTGCATTACACGCATTAACATACAACCACGCAACAGGGTACGAGGAAGTGAGTTAGAATTCTAGGAAGGAATATAGCTAGGCGGAGAGAGATTGATTACTGAATCCTGCCGTGTTCATTGCGTCTGCACCCAACACATGCAGAAGGAAAGGCTCAATTCAAATACCAGAGATGTGTATGGAAGATATTATTACCACCAGTCAAATCAGAAGAGGATAATCTCAAAATTCCATTTCGATTCAAGCACATCACAACATTCTAACAAGTTACTTTTTATGACTATAAAAACACTCGTTTTATTTCCCATATAATTGTATTTCACTGATAACGTTCGTAAAATTATTTCTGAATGTACTTAATGTTATACTGGTTTTATTCAAATGTCTAATCAGTTTCACTGATGTATATATATGAAGCAAGAAAGTTGTGTGAGTAGTGCCTTGATATGATTATGAGTGGCAATACTTTGTGCTCGAAACGTCATCAGTTAATATTACTGTACAATACTGTGTGATATATCAAAATACAATCCTACCTATAATGGAGTTATACTCTACCACTGTTCCCAAGTTTTATACTTACATCAATAGATGGATGATATTTGGGTCAAAAACGAGTGAGGGTTTAACGTGAAGCAGGCAGCTCCAGGCTCTGAAAACAACACCAACGCTATCAGAACTACAGAGCTCTAGTTAATATGTTACACTCAGAATGTATATATATATAGTTCATTCGCTGTAGCACTTAGCTTTCACGTAATACGTCCTAGGCTTGAATCTCTTTTCAAATTATTAATCTCTTGACTGTGGCCATAGCTATCTATTAACACAAAAAAAACCATGAGTTTAGTATAGTTAAAGTTTTACTAGCGAGTAATGAAATAATCTCGTGGAAACTGTTATCATTCTACTGGCATTTTTAAATGATTGGAGCACTCTTCCTTCTGTTTTGTACTACTAGCGATATATGGTAACTTTATCGCAAGGGGTGTTTTAAGTTATAGCTTGAAAACCTAATTACACTGGGCAGCAAAAATTTCCGGTCGTTTCATTTATATTTTATTCAGACTTTAAAAACTTCTCTTGAAAACATTTCCTCTGTCTTAATGATGAGATCCGATCAGGAACTCATTATGTAACAACAGAAGACAAGGGCCAGGCAACAGATCGTTTGATTACGAAAATCAACACGTATTTATATACATTTCACATACATTATTATAGCCCAGTCAAGTAGACAAACGCAGTCTTCTGATTGGTTGTTTGGGAGTTCCTCGGAAAGTGGAGCCATCTATCTGCGAATCACATTTGCCCACGTTTATGTTTGCTGTGATTGGTTATTGAAACTGCCTTGTTCATATTTTCTCACGGCCCATATTAGTGATCTAGACACTGACGTAGATAAAAGTCAACCAATTGGCTAGCAGGCTGCTCTCACCACAATTACATAAACACAACACAAAACTTTCTTGTACTTTTATTCCTTGACTTTCGAGTAAAGTAGAGCACCTGAAGCAACAATCTTCTTTTTACCAATTTATTATGGATTAGCTAATTAGACAAGGTTTAGAAGTCAGTCGGATGGGAACCACATCCAGAGCATGTGCGTGATTTGAGAGTATCCTGCAAGTGAACTACCAAAACACTTTATGTAAACGAATCTAATGAAATATTCACATTGTTTTGGGGAATACCGTTTCTGTTTTCTCACACAATGACACCTTGATCTGGTTCTTTTTTATGTCAAGGGCTTATAAGAAAGTGTTGAAAGTGACTAAGCAATGTATTTTTATCTGCTTGTTCAGCTGTCTTGTTGAAATAGCTTCCCTACAGTTATTAACTCACCCTATTTTGCTGAAGCCATCATGCAAAAATTAGAATAATTAGCTCTACCTATAATTAAACCAAATGTCGGGGTACGTCACCTTGATGATACATTTGTATTAACTAAAAGAAATGTGATTTGGAATATATGCCCAAAAATTAATAAACAACATATTTCAAGACATCAGATTCACAAGAGAAGAAGAATTAAATAAGAAAATCCCATTTATAGATGTCTTAATTAGGGGATTTAACACAGGAAATTTATAAACACAAGTATGCTGAAAATCATCACACACAGATCATATAATCAACTATAATAGTAGTGGCCCGATTATGCACAAAAGAAACTGTGTGCAGATATTGTTTAAAAGAATTCAAACACACTGCAGCACTTCAGCGTTGAAAAGAACAGAAGAAAAATACCTACTAGCCGAGTTCAAAAGGAATGGATATCTGCACAATTTTATCAAAAAGTGTTTAAGATCTAGTCCTATAATCAACAACGCGCCAACGCCACAGACAACAAGAAATTCATCCTGCCGTATATAAGCTGGAATATCTCTGCAATAATAGCTAGAATAATAAAACCGTTTGAAATAAATATAGGACACAAGCCAGCCCAATCACTTCAGTGGATAGCGTGCAAGCCAAACGATCCAACAGAATAACAATATAAAATTAATACCATTCACAAAATTAATTGTATGAACTGCAATAAAACATTACATCGACCAAACTAGGCGTCGCCTTTGAATCAGAATCCAGGAACACAAATTAGCCGTAAAAAGACACGATATATATTCTTTCATATCAGTGCATGTAGATAATTATGGATATCAGATTGATTGGGATAATGTCGAAATTTTGAACAAAGGTAATTCTCAGAAGCCAAGTACTTCAATGAATATTCAATTAACAAACACGTTAATGTAGACCAAATATATCAACTAATAAAAAGCTAATCATATGACGAGAAAGTTTCAAATCCAAGTCAATAAAAAATGATGAATACACATATGTAAAAGATGTTTACCGGGAGATGTAATTCTATCACTCACAGAAAATTTAGATCACTTCACTTTATGCTAAAACTTTCGCTGAGGGGGATGTTGTCCAACAGAGGGGGAAAACAAATGCTCCGCAACTACACCAACCACCTCAGAGAACACTCCTAGTTGCATAACTTCATTCCACCCTAAAAAAGAACAAAACTGGTTTGGGAAAATAATATGATATAATCATTATTTATATGGTTGGCTTCTAATCAGCTCAGCTGCTTACAGCCTAAATAAATTAGTATTATTAAGTTCATATACAGAAACTTTTTTAACATACTTCCAAATTTTTACATGATGTCAGTTGACGGTAAGTTCGGAACGCAGTGAACAGTGCTCAGAAAATGATGCTTCTATAGTTTTTAACAGAGGCAGTTCAGGTTTAAACAAGGTAAATAGTTACATACAATGGTAAAAGAGTTAGGTAATAAAGACTGATAACTGCTCTATTTTAAGTGTATAAATTGGGTTTCAGTTGTTTGATATGGATATTGCTTCGGTAAACTCGAGGAGAATTGAGTCTTTCCTTGTCTATTGATAGCTATTCCTTATTGATTGATTCGAATTCATTCAGAGGAATAAATGCATAAAACTTAATTATGTCTCTCTAAATACTCATATTTTATTACCTGTTTGCATGCTTATAGGAATATTATCCAATTCACAGTCAGTATAAATCTGATATTGGGACGTTAACTAATGACAGTGGAATTCTAAAATATACAAGTTATGATTTAAAGTGAGTAAAAAGTTGTTGATTATCTTTATTTCAGTGTTTCGTTTTTGATATCTTATCCACTGAGTAAAATTACAATTACAGTTTGTAGACACACGAAGGGAAGCAAAAACTGCACTTGATTAAGACGGAGGATGTCGCCGACACTCATCGCCACTCAGTGTTTTTCTCATTGGCTCGTATAGAGTAGACTGTTAGTAAATCTACTGATGGAAACGCCCCATGACACCTGTTTGTCACCAAAAATGTCTGTAAAAGCTCACCAACTACTGTTGGTGATAAGAAACCACACAGATGCAGACCAGAAACTCTCGGTTTCATTGAAATCCATCGTTACTAGGAGAGAACTGAACTCGTGATCCGCAAATCGCCCTTCTGGCGTCTCGTTCTTGAAATTGCACAGGACCTCAAGAATAACTTGTGATTCCTGATCTTAGCGGCCTCTAAATAGTCGGTAAAGCCTATTAGGCTTGACTTTTTGATGATACCAGCTTGTTCGCTGTTCACGCCAAACATGTTAGCATCATGCCAACGGACATCCAATTGGCTCGTCGCATCCGTGGTGAGCGTCGGTGGCACAGCTGTTAGAACGCTCACCAACCATTGCATATGGTCCGGGGTTCGATCCCCGGCCACCAACGCACTCCATTTTACCTCGCTAAGCCAGATGTAAATCTGGTAAAGAGGAAAAGTTGGGCGTGAGGCTAGCAAACCCCATCCCGTAAAAATAAACACCACTGCTACTGAAACTTCAAGCCACTAACTTGAGGCCCTATGTTGCACTGGGAGCGTGAAGGAAAAAAATTAAAATAAAAAATATCCGTGGTGAGCGTGCCTTAATTGGTCATATGTGACACTTATGGCTATTGCCGCCTTTCTTATGACATGCTTAAATTGTGTCATGTTATCAAAGGTCAGATTCTTTAAGGACACTTCCAAAAGATCAGCAGTTTCTTAGTGAATCAAACTAAAGATGCGTTCAACGACAAAGATGGTGGATAGAAGGGCTTTGTCATACTTTGGAATTTTTCACAAAAAAGCTTAGAGTGGTCTTTAACTCCTCATTAGCAAACTTTGATTCAGCTTTCACCACAACTCTTTCTTAAATAGATAACATGACTGTTTTAGCTCAGTAACCTAGTGAATTATGCTTTGGTAAAAGAGATGGAGACAGAAGAGGAATAAGCACTGATTTCCGACGTTAGGGAAAAAAACATATTTACTTCCAGCTAGCGATTATCTAGTCCAGTCGAATGACAGCCCTGGATTCTGTCGCTGTCCACGAATTACCATGAAGTATCAGACACAAGATAACTGTTGATAATTTTAAATCCAATTAAAAACTAAAACCTGCACCCATGGACAGACTGGGTGCATCGAACCCAAGCGTTTCAGATTAGTAGGTGAATATGTCGACCTCTCCACCACATCCACAAACTTGTGGTATATATAACATAAGTGGGGGTAACAGAGTCGGTTGTGAAGATAACTACTCACAGATGAAGTCGACTAGTAATTGCTTTGTATATGACGAACTCGTGGAAGTTAGGTCTCATAAGATATTGTACTGAAAAGAGGATATCAAACTTTACCATGAACTGCGTATGATTTCTAGGACATTCGTATAAGATCATATTTTCTGCACAATTCTAAAAATATTGTTTTAATTATATTTCTTCTTTTTGTCATTCTACCAGCAGTCAAACCCATCGAAGTGATACAAATACAGATTTCATAAAAGAGAATTACACGAATTATCCTTCCGATGCAAATTCAGGAAGCTCGCCCTTGCCTTTCTCTCATTTATACTTATCACCGGTTAAACCACCTTTACCCTCTTCATTGAACAGCACAACCGGTAGCTACCATCATCATGATCCGTATTGTGAACTACAACAACAAGTGAATGCCCAAATGAATTCAATTGTAAACACTCTTTCCCCCTTAAATACACCTGATTACCCTATGAATATTATATCTAGTTTAAAACATTCTGATATTACACCATTAGTGCATACAAATTCATTAGCTCGAGGTTCAACCCATATGGAGAACTCTGCGTGCTCCCAACAGACAACATTCTCCAATGAGACATCATCATCATCCCCTTTAGGTCCTATTTTTCTAATGACTTCAGATATCAATTATCCGCCTGGTATGCATTATAGTACTGCAAATTCTACAACGACAACTGTTTTATTACCGCCCGTAGTGTTTGAAGCTACGAATGATCAGAGTGTACTTTGTAATCCATACAATTCGCTGTGTTCTAATACCTCAGTTGTGTTGAATACAAATAATAATAATAATGATATCAGTGTTGCATCTGATATCTCCTTCCTCCCATTCAGTGTGAACAACGTGAATCAACAACAGACATAGTGTGTATAAGCTGATTTTGGGGTGTTTAATAGTTTTTTTTCACAGTTTTTGTCAAATGTTTGAAAAAACACTAAGAATTAAACTGTGTGTGTATATGATATGCATTTGTTATAGGTGTTTGTATAGTGTGATACTAACTGACAGACTATTTTTATTTTCATGTGCATACCATGTTTTTACAGCTGGAAAATTGTTGAAGTTTTGGTGTTTTCTTTCTTATAATGGTTTCAAGTATTCGATTTGCAGGGATTGTGTTTGCTTTGGTTAGAGGATTTCTTCATGAGCTTACATCAGTTAAAAAACCATTCGATTATCTCGGCCTGGTTTAGGCTGTTCAACAGTACGCACTCACTACAGGGTTTTGAACCCAGGTTACAAGGCAAGCGAGCTCTCAGACCATTAATCCACTGGGACCCGACCCAATGGTCCATGAACTCCTACTTCTGCCAACTGACTAAATGGTGCGACTGTTTTGAGGTCGACGGGAAAATCACGTCGCATTCAGTCTGACCAGATAATTTCATTACGTCACCCGACGCGTTTCTTGCAGTATGCTCCATTCTCTGATAAAGTGGACACCCGAGTGCACGCCACGTCTGGGGAGATATGATTATGATATCAGAAGCAGTATCTAACTGTAGTCGAACTGGCTTCTGGTTGATAGAAAGTGTGACAAACTTTGTTTTTGACTCGAAATCAACTTTGAAGATAGCGAACATACTGCTGATTTGAGGTTTCGTCGACCGAGATCGAAACTTTCGTAACTGTGCCATCGTATTGTGAGATCGTATTGATCTAGGTTTCACTGGGGGACAAAATCCTTCCTTGTGACCATACTTGTTACAGATACTGGATTTATGTCTTTTATACGGGTAAAATTTACCAAAATGCCACTATCCACGAAACCAACAATTTGTGGGAGGCTTGTGTTTGACTTGCAGAGAATTGTTTTACTTGACAGCCTGATCAGAAGTAAATTCATGAACTTGACCGTCCTCAATCAACTTCGTGTCATGCTTTAGATTGATGATTTGCTGGCACTCAGCAGTCACCTCCTGTAAAGTCATGTCCGGTTTGCGTTCAATCTCTGCAAGGATTCAAGTACGAATATCACTGTCAACTGAAGATTTGAGACCTCAGACAAAGATAAGGCATTTAAACTGGTCATCCGTAAGTGATCGAATTTTCGATCGCTCGCATTCACGATTCACCTTACCAGCATAGGTGAGAATATTATCTCCTGGATCTTTGGATATCTTGAAACAATTGTAACGGATACTGAAGAGAGATGACTGTTCACCGAAAATATTGCTTAACGTTTGAACGGTTTCTTCAAATTTGAGTTCTCTGGAGTTCTTTGGTAGAATATGATTGACATATTTGTTATGTTCGGCTGGACCAAGTTTCCGAAGGAGTAGTCTCACTTTGGCCGAATCATCTAGGTGAGCGCATTCAACCCGGAAAAGATCTTCATAACGTCGAAACCAAGCTTCAAACGTCACGCCTGTTGAAGGTTCGAAATTGAACTCTACAAATGAACTCCCAATATATTCAGTTTTCTCTGATTTGGAACTACCGAGATTTTGAATTGAAAACTGCTTTGTAAGTTTTTCAATCAAGCTGAGCTGGCAAGCTTCAAACTGTTGCTGTTGTTGATGAAGGAGAAGTTGCATTTGTTCAAATGAAATTTTCATTTGGAAGACAGGCTAGATGTACACTGGATGATCTGGGTTTAATTTGACTGCATTGAACTGCAATGGATTCAAAACCCCGTCGCCAATTGTCATGATGCTAGATCTTTGTCTCGAGGTAACTGCTTAACTACTGACCAGTGCCCACTTAACTGGTAAAGCAGAACACGCGATAATCAGCAGTAAAACCAGAATCATTTATTTATGACAAAATTGACTGTATTTATACAAAAATAAGGTAGACTGGAAATCAACCAATCCGGTTGAGAGTTTGGAATTGTGCAAGCGTTCAGTCAGAAAGCAGAAACAAATGCATGTCAACGACACGCTAATAACTTGACTGAGGCATGGTAATGACCTGATAATTGCATGTGTTTTGCCTCTTCCTAACACAGGTTGAGAGTGAGAACAAATAATCGCGCTAAGATCATGAATTGGTGGGAGTTAGAATGCATAGGTCGTCGAGTCAGGTTCAACTGGCTGAATGGTCTGTAAGCTCGGCTTATAACCGGAAGGTTCTGGGTTCGAAACTTGGTGAAGTTAATTATTAGCGTTTTAGGCGTGGGAACACTCCAACGACCTTGAATGCATGCTAGTCGTTGCATAACGCGAGATCTGTCATTATTGTTACGCAAATATGAATACTATTCACCAACTAAGCAGTATCTCATTAGGGTCAAGATTACGGTTAAGGTAGGTATTGGGATTAGGGGTTAGGATCACGATTAGAATTAGGATTAAGGTCAGGGTTGCGATTAAGGATAGCTTTTTGGAGTTGGCATCATTTATCTGAATTAGTTTTATTACCCGCATTTTACTAGTAAGTAGTCACCGATCCTCTTACTGGAAACAGCAGAAATTGTCCACAAGGTCTTTCATGGAGGGCTACAAAACAGGATAAGGGAGATGACTAGTCAAAAAAGAGCCCACCTCAAATCACCTCAGTGAATACATGTGAAGAAACTGGTCTAACTTAGAAACCGATACTCCTCGTTGCAACTGTGAAGAATTCCCGGTTTTCAGTAGCTTAATTGTATTCAAAATTTCACCTTTCATTGAGGGGTTGGTGTCCACTGGCAGTTTCATTAGTGCTGTTGATGGTAGTTTTTCTGGGTGAGCTGCAGGTGATGGTCTATTCAAGAGACCTTTGAAGTAATCAGCCCATGGATTTATTTGTAGTTAGATTCATATGACCGTCCTCTGTAGGTTTAATTTGCTTTGATATCTTCCCAACTAATAGAAGAGAGAAGGACAGTGAAACAAAAGATTAACCAGTGCACCAACGAGCAACAAAAACAGGAGTTGCATGCAAGCTACAATACACTGAACAAAAGAGTAAAAAAGAAGAGTGCCAGGGAAGACAAAAGAAAATATTACGAAACCATGGAAAGTGAAGCAGAACAAGCTGCAGGAAAAGGAGACCTCGCCACACTCTACCAAACAACTAGGAGCCTATCGAGCAAAGGTTCGACACAGATTAAGCCAGTCAAGAATGACAATGAAAAGTCAATCACCAAAGAGGTGGAGCAAAGAAAACAATGGGATAAACACTTAAAAAGGCTTCTAAACCGTCCGCCACCTACAACGCGCCCAACAATACCAACAACGGAAGCAGAACTACCAGTGAACATTGCGACAAAATCAGAAGTCCTGAATGCAATCAAGATGCTAAAAGCTGGAAAAGCATCAGGACCAGATAGAATCCCAGAAAAAGCATTGAAAGTGGACACAGAGACAACAGCGGATTTGATGACGCCACTGCTGAGGAAGGCGTGTAAAGAGGGCAAAGTACCTGAGGATTGGAGGAAGGGATATTTATATACACTGACAAAGAAAGGAGACTTTAGTCAATGCGAAAACTGGCGCGGAATTATCCTCCTGTCCATCTCAAGCAAAATACTAAGCCGCATCATCCTGGAGAGAACCAAACAAGCCACGCCGGATGAAAAACTTCGTGCGGAACAGGCTGGATTCAGGAGAAACAAGTCATGTATTGATCAAATCTCCACACTACAGATCATCATTGAACAAAGCTTGGAATGGCAGTCACCTCTCTATCTCAACTTTATCAACTTCATGCTGAGTAGGACTGTTAACCTCCACTCAGACTTCAGGTTGTTGGAAGCTTGCCTTGTTCTCTCTATCCTCGAACTTTGATATCCTCTCCAGTTCCACCTATAATTGAAACGATACTTCCCAGGTAGGCAGGTAAACGAGGTTGTTTCTTTCAGGTTCCTCCAATTTATGCTGATTGTTGTCTGTTATTGTTGTTGCTGTTGCTGTTGACCAGGAATCTTCATCACCTCTGTTTTGTTTATGTTCACTTGAAGTCTCATCTTTGATTCTTCTACTGCCAACTTGTTGCTTTTCATTTGCATATCTTCCAGTTTGTGGGAAATTAGACGTATATGACTGGTATAATCCATATCCTCCAAGTTCTTTGTGTAGGTTCATTTAATGTCGTTTCCTCACCATCCGCTCTCTGTCTCACTATCCAGTCTAACGAAAATACTAAAAACCATTGGAGACAATTGGCAGCAAGCCAGCCTTGTCTCACTCCCGTCCTTACTTCGAAAACTTCCGTGAGTTTTCCGTTTTGGATTACTTGGCATGCAGGATTGTCGTACAACTGTTGAATGAGAAGTGTAACTGTCAGCGCCCCCCCTTAGTAGCGAAATAGTTTCCGAAACACCTCCCGGTCGACGCTGTCGAAGGGCTTTGCGAAGTCGATGAAGTTGAGATAGAGAGGTGACTGCCATTCCAAGCTTTGTTCAATGATGATCTGTAGTGTGGAGATTTGATCAATACATGACTTGTTTCTCCTGAATCCAGCCTGTTCCGCACGAAGTTTTTCATCCGGCGTGGCTTGTTTGGTTCTCTCCAGGATGATGCGGCTTAGTATTTTGCTTGAGATGGACAGGAGGATAATTCCGCGCCAGTTTTCGCATTGACTAAAGTCTCCTTTCTTTGTCAGTGTATATAAATATCCCTTCCTCCAATCCTCAGGTACTTTGCCCTCTTTACACGCCTTCCTCAGCAGTGGCGTCATCAAATCCGCTGTTGTCTCTGTGTCCACTTTCAATGCTTTTTCTGGGATTCTATCTGGTCCTGATGCTTTTCCAGCTTTTAGCATCTTGATTGCATTCAGGACTTCTGATTTTGTCGCAATGTTCACTGGTAGTTCTGCTTCCGTTGTTGGTATTGTTGGGCGCGTTGTAGGTGGCGGACGGTTTAGAAGCCTTTTTAAGTGTTTATCCCATTGTTTTCTTTGCTCCACCTCTTTGGTGATTGACTTTTCATTGTCATTCTTGACTGGCTTAATCTGTGTCGAACCTTTGCTCGATAGGCTCCTAGTTGTTTGGTAGAGTGTGGCGAGGTCTCCTTTTCCTGCAGCTTGTTCTGCTTCACTTTCCATGGTTTCGTAATATTTTCTTTTGTCTTCCCTGGCACTCTTCTTTTTTACTCTTTTGTTCAGTGTATTGTAGCTTGCATGCAACTCCTGTTTTTGTTGCTCGTTGGTGCACTGGTTAATCTTTTGTTTCACTGTCCTTCTCTCTTCTATTAGTTGGGAAGATATCAAAGCAAATTAAACCTACAGAGGACGGTCATATGAATCTAACTACAAATAAATCCATGGGCTGATTACTTCAAAGGTCTCTTGAATAGACCATCACCTGCAGCTCACCCAGAAAAACTACCATCAACAGCACTAATGAAACTGCCAGTGGACACCAACCCCTCAATGAAAGGTGAAATCTTGGACACCATCAGGCTACTGATAACTGAGGAAGCAGCAGGTGAGATGGAATTCCCTTCAACCCGAAGAACGCTATTATTGCGTGAGTGTGAAACGAATGGAAGGTGCCTACTTATTGGAAGAAAAGCTGTGTTGTCATGCTATCAAATAACTTTGACTAACGGCTCTACGAGAACTGGCATGGTATAATGCTCTTGTTCACTCACGCTAAGTAAATTATTAAGTCGCTTCATCTTGGAGAGAATAAAGTATGCCCTGGTTGGAGAAACCCGTCCATCGGAACAACGTGGATTTAGGAAGGGAATATTATAAGCTGATCGAATCTGAAATCTACGTGTCGTTATCACAGATTGAAGCATAGCATGGCAGTCCAACTCCTACCTCAAATTCCTCCATTGACTTCAAAAAGGCCTACTACGGCGTTGACCAAGATGTTATTTGGAAACTACTTTAACACTACGGCATGCCATACCTCTATGTCTATCGACGTTATTCAAGAGCTATTTGACAATATCTGCCTCATGCCTGGTGATCAAAAACAGGTAACCCAGTGAGGCGTTTGAAGTGAATACAGGCGTAAGGCAAAGCTGCATATTATCACCCAAGATGATATTCTTAATCGTGGTGAACTGGATTATGCATCACACTGTCCACATGGAGTGAGAAAACAGGAGTACTCCCCACTGACCAATAAGAAGAATCCAGAAGATATGGATTTCGTGTGTGGATGACTTCTGTTTAATGTGAGACACATAGACAAACTCGAAAACATGTTTTCGGGCGAAAACCAACAAACTCTCTGAAGAGACGAGGTAGGAAGCGAAGACATGACTCCAGGTGAACACAGAGAGGACGAAGATGATGAAGATAGCCAATCAACCATTAGTGACAACAAGAACAACAACCACCACCAATCACCATCAACGGGGGAGATTTGAAACAGCCTACTTCCCTCACTTTTCCAACCAGGAAGCATTGTTTCAAACAAACTCAGGTGGACAGCACGGATGGAGACGTCAAAGCTAGCCAGCCAGCCAGCCAGCTAGCCATCCAGAATCGGAAAGGCAAGATAAGCTTTCATCAACCTGAAACCAGTTTGGATATCTTCTGAATTCCGCCTCACCATACACAACAAAAAGATTCCAAATCTCTTCAATACAAATGTGAAGTGATTCAATCAGTCACTTCTTCTATATGGCTCAGAGTTCAGGCTCATCACAAGAGGCATTTCCAACAGACTTCTGCAGACTCTGATCAATTACCGCCTTCTTTTCACACTGACGATCAAATGGCCAACCGATGTTAGAAAATTAGCAACAGGAACCTCTAGAAATAAGCCAACCGACAACCTATGGTTCAAGAAATATATGTAGGCATAAATGGAGTCGAATTGATTAGGCATACGTAGAGGTGGCTTTCAAATGATATCGCGCCAACTTCAGGTCACTGTTCGTGTGGAATCCCAATAAAAAGTGATAAGTGGGATGTCAGCATGATAATGACATGGAGGAGATTGTCAGAGTTTGAAGATATGAGATATTCTGGGCGATTGGGGAGCCAACCAACTGAAGAGAACAGCAGGAAATAAAATAGGGTTGAGATGTGTTGTTGAAGGCAACCTATGTTCCACTTGGGACCCAAGGAACTAGTAATAATAATAATAATAGCTTTGTCAAAATAAAGATCATTCGGAAACCCGGATATGTGAATATAAAATGATGGAGACATAAGATGAGTGAAATATTGTCAAAATGTCAAAACAGTAGACTAAATAAAATGTTAGAATATACTAATATAAAGCGAAATAAATTAACGCAAAAACTAGAACACGAAATAATGAAGGATAACAAAGTTTTTGTGTGAGTTACATAGTAAATGTTATTGCTCACGTATAGATTTAGGGAAATAACAAATTGAGAGGAAACACAGCTGAAAATTTCCTTATTTCTGAATTAGGATGACAGATTTCTGAGCACTTTCTTTTCTTGAAGAGGATTTCTAGATATTTCAACAAATTTTCTTACTCTAATGCCCGTCACATAATTAGAAATGATTTAAACATGATTTTGGTCTTCAGTAATTTATTATCTAAAATTCCATTATGTTGTAAGAGACAGTAAGTATGAGGCTTTTGTCTGATACGCCAAGAAGACCTGAAGCCACACCACCCACTGCTGCAGCCAATTGAGGTACTGCTGTGCTATACAAAGTCCATGTTGGTTTGTCAAGCAAACGCAGACTTGATCCAAACAAGCAGCATGATGGCAACATACCTTGGGATAGTGGCCATACAGCGAACATGACTGATAGATTTCAGTCTTAATAACAATGACAATAATAACTGGCTTTATTCCAAAAGAGTACTTGTGGTACATAATGGAATTCTCAGCATTTCACTACAGTATTGCATCCAGTTTGTACATTAACAATAAATAAAATTCTACATAGATTATGGGTTTTCTCAGTTAGTTTTGACAACAACATATTAGTATATCGGTAGCAAAGCCGAAATTGAACAGTGTTCGAAGGTGTTAGAAAAGTAGATGGCAGCATATTTATTGGTGTAAGCGGTAACAAAAACGTCGAGATATACAGAGTGTGAAAGAAAGAAGAAGAACGTTATAGATGGAGTTTGTAACGAAGAAAGAAACAAAGGAGCACATGACAGGTAAAAAGAGTAAGGAAAAGAAAGAAAAAAACGTTGTACCTATAAATGATACCAGTTGAGAAGACGAGATCCAGTTGTTCTACTGACTATTTAATAAGTTATAGGTGGTATCACGCCTAATGCTTTCTTTATCGCACAAAACACGAGCCAAGTAGGGTATGGTTGAGTTTTTGTACTTGCTAGTGCAACCATATGGTTTTCTATATAGTCTTCTGGTTCTGCCTGATGAGATAGATACAGGAGGATAGTTGTGAATGGAGAGGGTGGTGTGAGTTAGATAAAATGGATTTAGCCCATTTTTGACATGAGTCCAAGTGCCTGTCAACCAGAATATTAACAAGCTGAATAATTGGCACGTTGCTTACACTGCTGACAACCTTTAAGACCCTACTTTGTAAGATATAGTCCTTCTTCAGTAGGCCAGGAGAAACTAAGGGGGAACAATAGAGAATAATAGGCAGGATGTGAGAGTTAACGAATCGTAGGAGTAAGGGTTGGGTTATTCCAGAATGTCTTAACTTCTTGATGTAGAAGGTAAGACGGAATATTTTCTTAGAAATCATCATGATATGAGACAACCAGGAAAGATCAGTAGATAGAATGACACCTTGTGAGTGCTAACCAGTTTGATTAGGTCATAATTATGCCTAAAGGTGAAATTGACTGTTTGGCATTTAGAGGGATTTAAGGTGAGACCGTTTTCTTTGGACCACTGGCTGATTACCCATAAAAAGCCATTTAGTTTGGAGGGCTATTTCTTCACCAAACAACATTAGTTACCCCACCTAGTGTGTCCAAACAAAGTATTATGAATATATTCATCAGAAGCAACACTTTCATTCACTTCTTTTATTCAAATTGTTTGAATAACACAAAAGTTTGCTTTTTTTCCCCAGCGCTATTGCAACGAATAATGTCCTTAATTTTTAACACTAGGCTACAAATCACTCAGTAATTTATGCACAGAATTATGCCTGATAAAATCGAGTCAGTTAATACTTGTAAAAAGAGTTAACACATCACTTCGCATAGTTATCAATTCTCCTTCTTCTTTGTTTTTTTCTTTTGTTTGCCCTTCTTTAAACTGAAGCCATATAAATGTTCCAATGCATGACTATGCATATAAATCCTGTTTTATTTTTGTATAGGTGAATGAACAGCACGGTAAGGCGATGATCGTGTACAGTTATACACGTATTCAAAAAAAACAACAATAATATGTTTCTCTATTTAGCTCTCCTTATTGTAAAGCATATAATCCACATATGTATTCACTAGAAATTAAGTATTTTGCATTCCTACGGAGACTGTGAAAGCCTATAGAGAGTTATCATCTGAAATGGTGTAAACTAATAGTGTCCGTCATGGATGCCAACTGTCCCCATTCTTATTTAATTCCATCGTTAATGTACTAATGGACTTAACCTGAACTGAATCCCGTGACTCGAGGACTGAGTTGTTACCAGGGAATAATAATCTCATTGTCCGAGAATATGCAGATGATATAGTTCTGTCTCCTAGGTGAAGATGCTGATAAAATTGAGCAGAGTGTTTTGAACATACCTCGAGGGATAACAATCTTCGAATGTTCAGCATATGATTCGACTGAACTACACTGACAACTAACTTTAAGATAGGGAGTGAATTGTTAGAGCATGTTGACCCCTTCATTAGTTTAGGAAGTCACATCAGCCAACGCCAGCAGGTTGATAGGTGAAAAAAATCTCATTAAGGATACAGAAGGCTCGTTCCGCATATGTCAGTTTACGCCGTCTCTGGCGTAGATATGATATCCGACTGTTTACCAAACGGCGTGTGTACTGCTCCGTAGTCCGCACCGTCCTTCTTAATGGCTATGAGTGAGATATGGTCAATAAAAGTGGAAGACATGAGAAACCAAGCTAGCTAGCTGTTTTTGACCATAGATGCCTGCGTTCTATCCTCCTTTTTAAATGTTATGATAAAGTGAGCAACATTGAGGTGAGCCGTCGATAGAATGCTAGGTAAGGAGAGGGAATCAATCTACGAGGTTGTGAAGCAACTGCAGCGATTGAAATGGTTAGGACGTGTGTTACACATGCCTAGCCATCGCTTTTCACGACTCTGAGCAATTTAAGTTGAGATAAGATGGATCAGATTGTTAAAGAGCTATTGGTGGTCAAACCAAAACATCCCATCAGTCAGTGAAATCCATAGCAGTTAGTTTGGATCAGTCAAGTAGTGAGGTGTGTGCTTCTTCACTGGCTGGTTGGGGTCCTCCATATGGTAAAAACCAACGAAGGCTGGAGACAATTATTACTATTACTGTTCTTTCCTCATCACTCACAGATCTGTTTATTATCTCTATTTTGAACCTCCCACCGTTCTCTTATCTTGCTATGTATGGTGAATGGAGGGAGAGTGGCAACTGGAGCTGCTGCATATCCGTACAAGTTTCTGTGTTCAGTACAGTCAGTCATTACAATTCTGAGGTTGTAAAAGCCAAATAATTGAAAATGAAGGAGGCATTCTATGG